TTTTTCCTTTTTCTTAGAGTCTAAATTTCTAAGTGTATATATTCCTGAAAACAGCCTTGATAAGATTATTGATAAGATAAGATAATTGCAATCAGAAGATATTTTTCATGTTCACCAAGAATACAACAAGAATAAACCTAATAGAGAAAACAGCAATCCCCACATAATTATATAAATTATTTCTGTTGTTGCGTAATGTCTACATTTTATTAAAATATGGTGAATAAGCCATACTTGCAAAGGACTGTTTTATGTATTGATTTATTGTGGGGATTGGAGTGTTTTCTTTTGTTGTTGTTGTTTTTTTTTGACAGTTCTTTGTGTTTCTAGGTTAGGCTTATTTCCCGTTTTGGTCAACGTGTTTTTGTTTGCTCGTTTGGTTTTTAGTCACTTCTGTTGTTTGTCTCATCAGTCTGTCATCAGTCCAGTTCTCTTCAGGTCAGTTTTCTCGGTATTAATCCTGTTCCTCAGTCTTGCCACGCCAACCCTCACCTGTTCCTCTTTAATTATCAGATCAGATGTTTCTGGTTTTGCTCATTAGTATTTTATTCATTTTTACTCTCCGTGTCTCAACAGTTTGGCATTATTTCTCTTCCATTCACCGTCATCCGTCCGTCCTACTATCCGTTCGTTCGTTCATGATATTCGGTTCGTTTTTGTTTTCCACTGAGTTTCTTGAATGTTAGATTTTTCTAGTGTTCTTACACATCAGCTTTTGTTTTTATTTATTTATTTAATAAAAATTAAAGCTCCTTGCCTCCATCTGCATCTAGATCCATCAGTGCATACACTCCTCCACTTTGACATTTAATTAGCAATGACCCAGTCATATAATTTTATTATATCTTCACATTTTCAATGTTTTTTTTTTTTGTTTTTTTTTTATGGTTTTCTGGACTGAAGGTTATAAACTGTAATAATTATATTTTTCTTTGTCTAATATTCTTTCCATCCCTTTTTTTTTACTTCCCTTAATTTTACTGACGCACCACTTTCCCAAATGAAATAAGAACACTTTTTACTTTTTTCAGACTTTCAAGTTAATTTAATTTCCTGTTGTTCCAGAGGGTCCAGGTATCCACAAAAAAGCAAACAGTTATACAAAACATGGCTACTCTTTATCCAACGAGAGATATCTCCCTATGTCAGACCTTGAAGAGCAACTCCTTCCCACATCAGTGCTGTTCTTATGTTTAGTTCTTTTATATTACAAGTTCACTTTCTGTCTTTGAGTTCTCGCTGTATGTTGCATGTTGGTTTGGCTTTCGTATAACTGTTTTGCTGCCTTGTCAACTTTTATCTTTCTTTTTAAAATTCTTACTTGATATTCACAAATCTGCTTTTTGGGTTATTTTGTACACATTTTACAGACTGAGGTTAGGTTGAAGATTTTTTGTTTGTTTGTTTGTTTGTTTGTTTGTTTGTTTGTTTTTTACTTTTTGTTCTTTGTGAAATCAGCGTAAAGTGTAAATAACTCATGATTCTGCACCAAATCCACAAAGTCAAATTCTCCATATATTTAACCCGACTTTACCTCTGGATAGAAATAGAAACATCCAGTCTGGGTCTGTAACACACTGTCGACAGTCTTATTTTGCTAACACCCTCAAAATTATTATAATGTCACTTTTAGTCCTGTCTGCCGGCACGACAAATCCACCCGGCAGCATCAACATCACCCTCAGTGGTACTGCTGACACTATTCTGCTGCATGCACTTTTTCTTTCATTTATTTTTTCATAATACACACATCCTCAGCTGAAATATTAATCCAATGAAAAACGAAAATCTGAAAAGTGGTCAGAGAAAAAGCTTGGGAAGCGCTCACTTTAGCAGAAAAATGACAGAAATAGGATGAGATGAGCTTGTACTAGAAAACCGGCCTAACTCTGGTGAATAAACACAAACTTAGTGGCATTATGGACACATTTCAAATGCCAGTGTACAGAAAGTTTTCATTTTTATCAGTTTCGCCTTAAACTGAACAAAGTGTAGACTGTTTATGTAAGCTTTTCAAACTCATCTCAGCTTGTAAATAATTCAGACTTTATTTTTCAGTGCCACAGATTTTAATCTGAGGGTTAAACTTTCAAGCATCAGCTGCAGGATAATAAATAGACATTTGACTAATTGTCATTCTCCTGGGTAGCTTGCCCATTTAGACAATAACCACACTGGGCTAAAACACAAGAGACTTCTCTGTACCTCTTTAAATCACATCATCTGACACAAATGTTAAAAATAAGAGCACTAGTGGGTACTCTACGTGCGGAATTGTTGTTCGCTAAACCATTCATTGAGCATGCTTTATAATACTGGAATTCCACCTAATGATAGCCTGACAAAACACTCCAAACTCTGATGTGAAATACACCATCCTCAAACATCCAGGACTCTGTCTCCCACAGGCTTCCCCTCCCCCTCGTTTTTACTCCCTGTAGCAGCCGGGCAGCAGTAGCTCTGCACCTTTCAAGGACACCAGCACCAGAAAGGATGGAGAGGGAGGCAAAAAAGACAGAAACCGAGAAAAATTTAGAACAGGAGCAGAAAAGAGAGTGATATAAAGGAGAAGATAACGCAAAACAACAACAACAAAAAAAGGCGGACATGTTAAAGCATTGAAGAATAGAGGGGGTGACATCATATAACAAAGGTAAAGATGTGAATATAATGAAGAGTGCAGATGGAGTGATATCAAGAGTGTGAGTTATCGGTAAGAGACAGAGGAAGGCAGCCATGGTTGCTTACGTCACCTTCAGAATGACATTGGCAGGACACACTGGTCTGCTGCCTCATCAATTCTACTGCTGCCCAAGAGGGAATCATAACGCGCACGCATACAGAGGCACATGCATGCTCACGCCCAGCCCCTGCCAACGTGGCTCTACCTGGCCAAACACACCCGCAGCCTCTGATTGGCTGCCGACAGCCAGCAGCACCCCTCCTGCTCACAGTCAGCGAGACTCTGCTTGGAAACAGAGCGGTCGAACTGCTAACACCACAGACCGCTGCTGCAGCGCCCATAACTATATGATCCACAGTTTGAAAGACATGAAAAATACAAAATCATCACAAAAATTATACAGGAGGGGGTTCAGTGGGTTGTTGAGGACAAAGGTTAAACAACTTTATTCCTTGTAAAATCCTTTCTATCATATAAAAACAGATGCAGAGTTTAAAAATTAATAAAATATTTCATGAAAAGCAACAATTAAAAAAGAATGGTGATAACAGCATGCAAAGTCTAACAGTAACGCCTGTTAGGAGTCAAATTACCAGTTTGGGGTGATAAATATATTTAGTTTACCAGCAAGTGACCTGTAAAGAATTAAAAATTACGGTGCTGTGATTTCAAACTGAATCAAATCAAATCAAATCATTGGTGCTTGATAACATACAGTTCCTTCTATTTATTGTCTGGTGGTGTTTCAGGTTAGGAAGAGTCTGTGGAAACTGAGCTATGAAACGAGAAGCTTTAAAATTTACTGGTCCTGGGTTTAAAGTGTGATAGACACAAAAACTGTCACATATAAACATTTGCAAAATTTATAAAAAAAATTGACTACAGAATTCCTTCATAAAGACCCAAAAAGGAAGAAGTGGTTAAATGATAATGTATGTATGTATGTATGTATGTATGTATGTATGTATGTATGTATG